TGGGCGCCATAGCTAGGATAGCACTAGCAAGAGAGAGAGAGATTGGGCGGAGGACAGAGGTACTTACCTGCAGCGCCGTTGCTCCAGCTTCGTCTTCGAGGTACCTGCAGCACAGCGCCAACATCACAGGTTAGTATCTGGTTCGTAACAGTGAGAGAGAGAGTCTTCTTCTTCCTCTTCTCAGTCCACCATCTTCTTCTCTCCCTCTCAACATCTGACTTCACTGCATCTGCAGACTGCGAGAGAAGAGAGACAGAGCTTGGTGACATTGGATCCAGACTCGACTTTTGGGGACTTCAGACAAGGCAACGAGGGATTATTTGGGATTGGTGACTTCAGACAAGGCATCTTCTTCTCAGTCCACCATCTTCTTCTCTCCCTCCTTTCGTCTGTTCCCTACCTCTTCGTCTGTGTATGTCTGAACCTGGCGCTTCTTCCTGTGTACAGCGCCGGGCTCCCTCACACTCAGTGATGGGTATGATGCATGTTTGGTCTGGGTTCAAACATTGATTGGGCTCGTTATCAGTATTCTAGCATTCTGCTTTGCTACTTGTTACTACGTGAGTGAGGTCAGTCCCTGTCAGGTCAGTCCTTGTATCAAAGTCTTCCCTGCGCTATTCAGCACCTTTTGTATGTATGAGAATGCACATTCTCTGTCGAGATTCTACTCGCACTGCATTGTCCATTCTGTCCTTTTCATCACATTGCAGATCCTCGGTTATTACGTACATGGCATATCTGTGCATGTAACAGTTGGTACCGGAGCTTCTGCACGTGAATCAGGACACCCTGATCTGACATGTGTGCGGGGACTAAAAAGCTAGTTAGTCTCTATTGGTTGATTAGGACATACTAGTTAGACCCCAAAATCACGATCTTGACCTCGCTACCGAAAATCGAAATTTTTTTCTTTTCTTGGAATTTTTTTTCTCGCTATTCTGTTGTGGAAAATCGCAAAATCGCAACATCTGAAATTCCCATTTTCGTTTTTCTTCTGAAAATTCGAAATTTCGCTGTAGAAAATCCGGAATATTTTTCTTTTCAAAAATTTCGATTTCCTGTTGCATTTCCCGTTACTGAGAAATTCGGAATATTTTCTTTTCTGAAATTAGTCTTCTGAAAACGGTACGGGAAATACCTCCTGCAGTATTATTTTCCAAACTGCGAATATTCTCATCAGAATAAATTCGAATATTTGTCATTTCGGTTCGGAATTTTTTTCGCAGTTCTGGGATTCTGTCGTTCAGTTCTATAAATCATTGCCAGTCTAAAGTCGAACTTTTTCTTTCAGTGATCATTTCGCACTTCAAGGGAGGTTGGGAGACCTACCGAACTTGCAAAATTCGTAATTTTTTATTTTTCTCGAAATTTTTTGCAAAGTTCAAACTTTTCTTGTTCGATTAGTGGCTCCTTATCTAAGTGATTGGTTGGGCAATTATCCCACCCACCCCTCCCCACCTATGTTGTTGCCATCTCTCGCCTTTCCGTTTCTGTTGGTATCCGGGTACCCCCTGCGGCGGCATTGGTGAGTTGCCACGTCAGCAGGCCACGTCAGCAGACTACGTCAGTACATCAGCAGGCCACGTCAGCAGGCTATGTCAGCAGGACACATCAGCAGTGCCACGTCAGCATCAAGGGATACCACATCAACAGGCCCCCGCCCGGTCTATGCTGTTGCGATCTCAAACAGCAGTCATGGACCAGAGGCCCGGGGAAGCAGACGAGGCCTATCAGGCCCGCATGCTGGCCTGGAGTACCGAGACTAAGAAACGGGCAGATGACGCTGCAGCAGCAGCGAAGAAGAAGGCAGAAGA